CGGCGGCACTGCGGGCGCTGACGGTGAGTCCCGAGGGACATGACGGCGAGGTCGAAGGGAGCCGGGGCGAGTGGCGGAGCCTTACCCAGGACGGTGAGGTTGATGACGCCGATGTTCTTGCCCGTGCTGGTGACATCGTCCACCACGTTGACGGTGCACATGTACTGGCCCGAGTCGCGCTCCCGCGTGGCGTTGATGAACACCGAGATGTTGTGGGAGAGGACGGGGTACAGGAACCCCACGCGGGGCTTCAGCTCCGTCTCCTCCACCTTCACCATCCCGTCCAGGTAGGTCAGGATCTGCACGGGGGAAAATGCCCGCTTGGTTGCCTCCGGATGCAGGAGAGGAACGCCCCCCCCCCCAAATTCCAAATTTTGGGGAGCAGCGGTTGCTGCATGAGCCCCCTCCGTCCTCACCTGCCCTGAGCTTCCCGTGGGCATCTCCCCAACGTGGGTGCCATGAGCATCCCCCCATCATGGGCATCTCCCCACTGTGGGCACCACAAGTACCCCCCTGTCGTGGGTGCCATGAGCAACTGCCCCATCATGAGCATCTCCCCAGCGTGGGCACCGCCCCATCACGGGCACCACGAGCATCTCCCCAGCGTGGGCACCTCCCCATCACGGGCACGACGAGCGTGTGCATCTCCCCAGCGTGGGCACCTCCCCATCACGGGCACCACGAGCATCTCCCCGTCGTGGGCACCGCCCCATCATGGGCACCACGAGCATCTCCCCATCATGGGCACCTCCCCATCATGGGCACCATGAGCATCCCCCCACTGTGGGCACCTCCCCGTCATGGGCACCATGAGCAACCCCCCATCATGGGCATCTCCCCATCACGGGCACCATGGGCACCTCCCCATTGTGGGCACCTCCCCATTGCGGGCACCGTGGGCATGCCCCCGTTGTGGGCATCTACCCATCACCATGAGCTTCCCCCCGCTGTGGGCACCTCTGCATCATGGGCACCACAATCGTCCCCCCACTGTGGGCATCTCCCCATCATGGGCACCATGGGCATCCTCCTACCAAGGGCATCTCCCCATCTTGGGTATCTCCCCATCGTGGGCACCACAAGCACCTCCCTATTGCAGGCACCGCGGGCGTGCCCCCCTCGTGGGCACCTCCGCTTCGTAGGCACCTCCCCATTGCAGGCATCTCCCCATTGCAGGCACCATGGGCACCTTCCCATCGTGGGCACCACCCCACGGTGGGCACCACAAGCACCTCCCCATTGCAGGCAGCGCAGGCGTGACCTCATCGTGGGCATCTACACGTCACCATCACCATGAGCATCCCCCCATCAAGGGCACCTCCCCATTGTGGGCACCAAGGGCACCTCCCCATTGTGGGCACCATGAGCTTGCCCCCATCGTGGGCACCTCCCCATGGTGGGCACCATGAGCTTCGCCGCATCGTGGGCACCGCCTCATCATGGACACCATGAGCTTCCCCCCCCTCCTGGGCACCTCCCCATCGTGGGCACCACAAGCACCTCCCCATTGCAGGCAGCACGGGTACGTCCCCCGTCATGGGTATCTACCCATCATAGGTACCATGGGCACCTCCCCGTTGTGGACATCTCCCCATCGTGGCCACCACGAGCATCTCCCCATCGTGGGCATCTCCCCATCGTGGCCACCACGAGCATCTCCCCATCGTGGGCATCTCCCCATCGTGGCCACCACGAGCATCTCCCCATCGTGGGCATCTCCCCATCGTGGCCACCACGAGCATCTCCCCATCGTGGGCATCTCCCCATCGTGGCCACCACGAGCATCTCCCCATCGTGGGCATCTCCCCATCGTGGCCACCACGAGCATCTCCCCATCGTGGGCATCTCCCCATCGTGGCCACCACGAGCATCTCCCCATCGTGGGCATCTCCCCATCGTGGCCACCACGAGCATCTCCCCATCGTGGGCATCTCCCCATCGTGGCCACCACGAGCATCTCCCCATCGTGGGCATCTCCCCATCGTGGCCACCACGAGCATCTCCCCATCGTGGGCATCTCCCCATCGTGGCCACCACGAGCATCTCCCCATCGTGGGCATCTCCCCATCGTGGCCACCACGAGCATCTCCCCATCGTGGGCATCTCCCCATCGTGGCCACCACGAGCATCTCCCCATCGTGGGCATCTCCCCATCGTGGCCACCACGAGCATCTCCCCATTGTCGGCATCTCCCCATCGTGGCCACCACGAGCATCTCCCCATTGTCGGCATCTCCCCATCGTGGCCACCACGAGCATCTCCCCATTGTCGGCATCTCCCCATCGTGGCCACCACGAGCATCTCCCCATCGTGGGCATCTCCCCATCGTGGCCACCACGAGCATCTCCCCATCGTGGGCATCTCCCCATCGTGGCCACCACGAGCATCTCCCCATCGTGGGCATCTCCCCATCGTGGCCACCACGAGCATCTCCCCATCGTGGGCATCTCCCCATCGTGGCCACCACGAGCATCTCCCCATCGTGGGCATCTCCCCATCGTGGCCACCACGAGCATCTCCCCATCGTGGGCATCTCCCCATCGTGGCCACCACGAGCATCTCCCCATCGTGGGCATCTCCCCATCGTGGCCACCACGAGCATCTCCCCATCGTGGGCATCTCCCCATCGTGGCCACCACGAGCATCTCCCCATCGTGGGCATCTCCCCATCGTGGCCACCACGAGCATCTCCCCATCGTGGGCATCTCCCCATCGTGGCCACCACGAGCATCTCCCCATCGTGGGCATCTCCCCATCGTGGCCACCACGAGCATCTCCCCATCGTGGGCATCTCCCCATCGTGGCCACCACGAGCATCTCCCCATCGTGGGCATCTCCCCATCGTGGCCACCACGAGCATCTCCCCATTGTCGGCATCTCCCCATCGTGGCCACCACGAGCATCTCCCCATCGTGGGCATCTCCCCATCGTGGCCACCACGAGCATCTCCCCATCGTGGGCATCTCCCCATCGTGGCCACCACGAGCATCTCCCCATCGTGGGCATCTCCCCATCGTGGCCACCACGAGCATCTCCCCATCGTGGGCATCTCCCCATCGTGGCCACCACGAGCATCTCCCCATCGTGGGCATCTCCCCATCGTGGCCACCACGAGCATCTCCCCATCGTGGGCATCTCCCCATCGTGGCCACCACGCCAGCTTTGCCCGTTAAGGCTCAGCCAGAAAATTAATCGGCTCAGGCGAGGTCGGGTTTGTGCCGGGGTTTGGGGGTTTTGGTTTTTTGTTTGGGTTTTTTTTCCCCCCCCGGGGGAACGCCGCCGAGGACCCGCAGCCGGGCGGCTCCATCCCTGCATCCCACCCATCGATCCATGTCCCCGGCTGGCCCCGGGCCCGCCAGCGCCCCAGGGATGCTCTGGATCGGGATGCAGGGGGGAAAGGATGACGCTACCCTCGCTGCCACCTAGGATTCGGGGGAAAACCCCTGGTTTTGAAGGATTTAGGGAGCCTCCGACGGCCTCGCCCTCTTCCCTATGAACTCAGAGGTTTTAAGTCGAGTTTTCCAGGGTGGGAAGAGGAAAACAAGGCACTGGGGGGTATTTTTAGCCTCCTCCCCGCATCCGTTCATCCCCCCTCATATTGTAATTTCTATAATAAAATATATAATAGATAATATACCTTCTGTAATCATTATAAATATACGCATATTTTTATAAGAATAGTGATAATAGTGGGGATGTGATAGTGATAATAGTGATCATAATAATGATAATAATGATAATAATAATAATGATAATAGTGATAGTGATAATGATAATAATTATAATAACAATGATGCTAATGCTAATAATAATACTATAGTTCATTAATGATGCAGGCGGCATCATTAAATGACGCCACAGCTCCTAAACCTCTGAGCATCCCCAACAGCCGGGAAAAGCCATTTTTTTTCAGCCCGGCTCCTCCATCAGCGTCTTTTTTGGGGCAAAAAAAAGGGTGATGGGCCAAAGGGCGCTGTTGGTCCCCGGGGAAATCCAGGCTCCGGAGGGGGAGAAGGGCACCGGCCGGGGGTTTCCCGTCACACCCCTGGGCATGAGGCATGACCCGTGTGTCTCTCCTCCATCAGCGTCTTTTTTGGGGCAAAAAAAAGGGTGATGGGCCAAAGGGCGCTGTTGGTCCCCGGGGAAATCCAGGCTCCGGAGGGGGAGAAGGTGCTCCGGCACCGGCCGGGGGGGTTCCCGCACCCCCTGGGCATGAAAACAGCCCCGTGTGTCTCAACCGCGGCAAACCCACCAGCGCCCGCCGCAGGCCGGGCTCCCTGTGCTCTCACCGGGGCGCGTTAACTCTGAAACCTAATGACGACTATGTTAATAGCGCCTTGCGGCCGCAGCTTTGCTCCGTCATCCTTAAACCGCGGCGACAGGAGAGCACGGCTCCATCATCTCCCACCCAGCACGTCGGGGAGAGGTGGATGCGTCCGGATCTGGAGGACGCTCGCTCCCCCCAAATCCCCTTTTTCTTGCAGAATTCACCCCAAATCCCTCGTCTCGGACAAATTTGACCCTAAAAAGGGCTGGGAGAGCTGGTGCTTGAGCTGCGGGCACGGGACCGAACCCTTTGGCATCAGCTCCAGCTTTAGCCACCTCGTCGCTTCAAATCCTCTAATGCTTTAACCAGATCGAAAAAATTAAGCCGCTCCCGGTGCTCATACGCATATCGGCGGTGGTGGTGGTGGGGGAACCTCGGGACTTCCCGGCTGCTATTTGGGCTGAAAAACCTTGATTTTTATCCAGCCGCCCCGAGCTAAGCACCTGCCTGGGTGTTTTCCCCCCGCTCCAGCCCATCTGCCAGGATTTTTTCCTCTATGGAAAAAAATACCTTTAAATTTGCCTTTAAAAATACCCTTAAATTTTTCCCCATGGAAAAAAATACCTTTAAATTTACCTTTCAATTTTTTTCCCTATGGAAAAAAATACCTTTCAATCCCCGCGCGCCTACGGCCACCTCAATGTTCAACCCCGCCCCTACGTCAACCACCCCATCCTCCCCTAAAATCGCATCATTTCACCCCCAAAAAAGCTGCTTTCCGACTCAAGGCTCAGCCCGAACCCACCCAAAACCAGCATCTTCCCCCCCAAAATCACAG